TTCCAAAAGAGAACGATATCCGCTGGTCGCTGAGGAAATACATCAACTTCGCGCTGTGGATCGTCAGATCGGCTTTCACCGTGGACGAAGCGGAGTCCAGCCCGGGGTCATCACATGTGGTTGCCGCAAGCCCGTCGGCCGCCGCTCCCTCTAGCTGCCGGCCTCCGCTCACTCAAGGCCGCCGTGTGTGACTCTGTGTTTCATTGTGAAAGCGAAACTACTTTGTTGGCCTTCCAAAAGAGGACACGACTAGAAATCAGTGGTTAAGTTGTATTTACAACACTGTTCCAGAACAGTTCAACCCAAATATTCAGATGTGTGCAGCACATTTTATGGAGGACTGTTTCCTGATCCTGGTAGACTACAATGCCGGCTGTTCTGACTCACAGACTGTAAGTATGTTTTTTATATATAAAGAATTTGAATTTGGTTTTGTCTCGTCGCTCCGGCCGGGACACGGCATCACAATGTACAGTATGTGGAAAATAATTTGTTTTTTGAACCTTAAACTGCATAAACACCTTTCATTACACCAAATACACAAAATAATGTTCTTTTTAGCAACATCATATGACCCCTTTAAAGGGCATAGATTTTTATATTATTGTATTATGTTCCTTGAGGTTTACTTATAATGTTTATAATGGTTTTTTTTGCACAAAAAATAAATAAATAATAAATAAATAAATATGTGGAAAAATGATTATTTTCAACCCTCATTCTGAACCTCTCTCAGAAACAACCTGTTTTTAAGGGGCATGTTCTTTAAGGCTTCTCAGTAATCGCCCACTGTTATGATTGGCTAACGTCATCGCACAGGAAACAGTATCAACACCCCCTTGGCATTGCATGTGTGTTTTGACAACATAATCAAAATCATTTGTCATGATTTGTCAAGAATCAAAGTAATTTCCAGACAAAGCATTATTAAATCATTTACTGATTGTGATGCAGCTGCAGTCATATATAGTACCACTTCATCTTTCAACAAATGTTTCTTTGTGAACTCTCCATGACACTGTGCCTCATTTGCAAAACTAAATACTCCGAACAATCTTCTGACATGACGGTGCGCTACACTTCATTCTTTATTATTAAACGAAGTAATTAGAACAACATCAGTCTACATTAATTGACACATTCTTAGGAAATAGTGGGTTCACAGCGAATTATCAGAACTACTTCAGTAAGACAGTAATATCTGCTTTACCTGGAAACCTAAAGCTGCACTAGGTGTACATCACATATTAGCACAAAAACTTTTTGAGCACTCAATTGAAAATGTACACATAACGTATCAATCGTACTTATAGGTTGTGCTTCAGAGAGCTTGTTAGTCCAAATTAAGAAGATTAGAAGCCAACGAAGATAAAAGCCAAGATTAGAGAAGCAGTACTTGGTAAAATGACATGCACACAACAAAAGGTTTGAATTGTATTTCTGTGGTATCCTTGAACACAGCGTCTTCTCAACATGATGTAAACACACTAACTAGCGGAAGTGTTTGTGGGCAGGTCAGACTCTGTTCGTATTTCGTGGGCAGGCGTGGATTATGCAAATGTGTTACCCAGTGACGTAACAGGCAAAAGATTTGAAAATATGACGACTCGTTAAGGCGATTCAGAATCGACTCTCTCCTTTGAGAGACAATATCTTTATTTATCATGCACTTTTTTGATTAACAACTTTGCAGATTGTTTTCATTTAAGGATAGCTACGTTATAAACTGCAAAAGAGATATTTTTCAAAAACCCATATGACCTGCTCTTTAAGTATCTGATTCTGAAGTTGGAATTTATTTTGCAATTCTTCTCATTTGACATGTATAGCACTCTCAAAACATGTGCTCGAAGAGCATTTGTGCATTTGTTGACTTTTTAAGTATTAAAAAAATGTGTGACAGATACAGTATATAAATGGTTCTGGTGGATATTTATGTGAGAGTTTGAAGTACACATGGAGATGTAATTATAACTTGCCTGTATATAAATTTATTTTATAATGTCACTCTTCTCATAAGTTGACTTCATGACAATATACCAAGAGTGGTTAACGTTTTAATAAGATGTCTATAAAAAACTTTCTTGGTTATATTAACAGAATATACATAGCATGTGCATGAGCAGAATACTCCAACTGTCTAACAGTTTTTTTTTTTATTAAGTGTAAGCTGTGGTAAGTGTGGCTCACACTTGGTTTGTTTGCTTGTTCTAAACCCTATGCAGTACCCCAGCAGTGTTATTTTAGTGTCACTGATATAAAACTGAATTCATTTTCATTTTTATATTTTTTGTTTTCATTTTAATTTTAGTAATTTTTAACAAATGTGTTTTGTTTTTCAAAAACCCATATGACCTGCTCTTTAAGTATCTGATTCTGAAGTTGGAATTTATTTTGCAATTCTTCTCATTTGACATGTATAGCACTCTCAAAACATGTGCTCGAAGAGCATTTGTGCATTTGTTGACTTTTTAAGTATTAAAAAAATGTGTGACAGATACAGTATATAAATGGTTCTGGTGGATATTTATGTGAGAGTTTGAAGTACACATGGAGATGTAATTATAACTTGCCTGTATATAAATTTATTTTATAATGTCACTCTTCTCATAAGTTGACTTCATGACAATATACCAAGAGTGGTTAACGTTTTAATAAGATGTCTATAAAAAACTTTCTTGGTTATATTAACAGAATATACATAGCATGTGCATGAGCAGAATACTCCAACTGTCTAACAGTTTTTTTTTTTATTAAGTGTAAGCTGTGGTAAGTGTGGCTCACACTTGGTTTGTTTGCTTGTTCTAAACCCTATGCAGTACCCCAGCAGTGTTATTTTAGTGTCACTGATATAAAACTGAATTCATTTTCATTTTTATATTTTTTGTTTTCATTTTAATTTTAGTAATTTTTAACAAATGTGTTTTTGTCATTTATTTTAAGTTTTTTTTTGTAGTAGTTTATTTTGTTCATTTAAAAATGTTAATTTAAAAATAAACTTTTTAATTAATTTTTATTATTTCTTTATTAATTAATTTAAATTTATTTTAGTATGTCAAGTTAGACTAAATTAAAATGAGAAATTAAATGTTGCCTTCGCAACAAGCTGAAAAAAATTGTTTTAATATTTTATTTCAGTTAACCTTTATTTGATTTCAAATAATGATTTTTTTTTCTTTTTATGGTTTTACTTTTAGATAACTATAATAACCCTCTAACGAACTTTATAATCATCATGTCCCATGAAAATAGCACTATGTTTATGCTTTAGACATTTTTAGAGTACATTGTTTAAAATAAGTAAATAAATAAAACAGCATATACAATAATAAAGCTTTCTTAAGAGAAAAAAATGGATGGACCTAACCCTCTGCTCTGCTGCTCAGCTATTAGACTGCATAAACATTAATTAGATGACCAACTGAGTAGTGTAAACTGCTGTACTTTCTTATATTCTCTCTTCTGCACTGGTGTGTTTAACCCTGAGCTAAAGAAGCTGTCAAACAGACAGGTTAACGTGTGGAGAGCACCTTGCCTGGGAATGTGGCCACAGATGGAAGGTGAGGAGCAGAGTTGCAGTGGTAGGTTGTTCCAGGTGCTCCTGAAAACAGTTTTTACTCTGAAAAATCCGTTCCATAAAGACTAGTTAATAGCCTATTCAAACCTCAGGTCCTCATGATTTTCTAGATCACCGTTAAATGGAGACACAGGCAAATGTGGATTTAAATATGTTTGTTTATAGCCTACTCCAGAGTGCTTGAGATAATGGTTTGTATTCCTCTTGTAAGAGGAGGATTGTATTCCTCCTCGTTTCCTTCTGTAAAAATGTTCCCTGTAAAACTTCTGCATCTAATTTATTTACCACTGAAATCTACAGTTATACAATATATATTAGAATTTTAACCTTGCCTGTATTAACTTGAAGTCGTGGCCTAATGGTTAGAGAGTCGGACTCGTAACCCAAAGGTTGTGGGTTCGAGTCTCGTACCGGCAGGGATTGTAGGTGGGGGGAGTGAATGTACAGCGCTCTCTCCCACCTTCAATACCACGACTGAGGTGCCCTTGAGCAAGGCACCGAACCCCCAACTGCTCCCCGGGCGCTGCAGCATAAATGGCTGCCCACTGCTCCGGGTGTGTGTTCACGGTTTGTGTGTGTGCACTTTGGATGGGTAAATGCAGAGCACTAATTCCGAGTATGGGTTACCATACTTGGCCACATGTCACGTCACTCACTTTTTAGATAGCTACAACTTTATTACAGACTAGATTTCTGGCATTTTCTGGTGAAAATGTGAGTTCCTTGTCTGTGCATAAGTGATCACCATGACACTTTGGTTTGTGTGTGATTACCAGTGTGTTTCACAAGATTTTATGATATAATGGTTACTAGATATGATTCAGATCCTTCATCCAGTGTAAACCTTAGTGATGCACCGAAATACAATTTTCCAAAACTTTCAACAATTAAATTTGGGTAATTGGTTAATTGAGCTCTTTATGTTGTTCAGGATGTCATGTTCTCAGCTTCAACCAGTCATAGTAATATTCTTTGGCAATGACCTGCCTCTTGGTAGTTCAGCTAAACAAATTTTACATGTTTACCTATTGTAGCTTATCCACATTGTGTGCACAAAATAGACTCTGACACAGTCAAAACGCTCTAAATAAATGTCACTGTTCTGGTCAATGATTTTGACCATCCTATTTCAGCTGAAATTGAAAATTAAATTGTTTTCCAGTTGCGTTTAAATATTTTAGGTTACCAAAATTTCAGTGCATAAATAGTAAATCTAAAGGATTTTTTTTCTTGCCAGGGACAGTGTACCCAGTGGTGGTGAACCTACAACCTTTTAGTTACCAGCTTAGATCTTTTACCACTATGTCATCTTATGCCAATACCGTTATAAAAATAATTATTATTAACGTGCAGTATTAATATTAACATTATTAACAATGATTGTAACACTACTAATTAATTCACACTGATTGTTCCACTGCAGGCCGTGGCAGTGACTCGGAGTGCGACACCCCCCAGAGGAAGATTCCGGACGTGCGCAAGGATGACATGCTGGTCCGGCGAACTTCCTGCAGTGAACCCCGGACTGCCATTCCTTTCAACCAGTATCTTCCCAACAAGAGTAACCAGAGCTCATACATACCTGCACCAGTGCGACACCCTCACACAGACAGAGATGACAGCTGCAAAAGCTGGAGTAATGCAACCTCACCTGTTGGAGGAGAGAGACCTTTCAGGTAAATCTAATCTGAGATGCTGGTATGTTGATATAGCGATTGTTTTTACCATCTGGTAATGTTGTTTAAATTCGGAGTACAGTGGATACAGTGACTTGCTACAGAAATTAATATTCGGTCTGGGCTCCAAGATTTTTTGAAACTTTTCCAGCTGACATCTATAAATAGTAAAGGGGAAAACTGCTATGCTCAAGACATGATTACTTTTGTGTAAGGAGGTCAAAGATCAGGCATTTGGTTAGATTCAAATTCCATTTCTGAGAACAGTTTTCTCCACTATCTTGATTATTTCTAAAAAAATGTCTCATGCAGTTATAACTCACTGTACCTGCAACAAAATCCTAACCTTCTGGGATTTAGAGTTAAAAATAAATAAATATCTTAAATCTCTAAATAAATAAATACATATCTTCTCTCCTGAAGCACGCAAACTCCAGATACTATCACTGTTTGCCAAACTCCATAAAAACACTTTTACAGCACAGATATCTTGGCTAAAATTCCCCTGTGTCCTCATAAGTGGATGAAAATGTATTTGTAAGTGATTGGCAATATTATGGCAACCTAAGGGATTACATGGTTTTGGTCATCTTCTTCTTCTTTTTTTTTTTTTTTTTGCAGTTTTGATTTTGTAGTGCTGTGGTTTGAGAGGGGTGGTTTATTTGAACCAGATGTGAACATTAATTGTCTAAGAGCTACAGACTGCTCTGATCCAGAACAACCATCAGACTGACACTATGAACACAGACAGGGACTTTCCAATATGAAATTAAAATGCTTATTCACACTACCTGAAAACATCATGCTAATGTATCAAATGATAATCTCCTGTAATTGCATTCAGTGCAACTGTAAGTGTTTTCAGTACTATCTGTGCTGATGTCCTTATTTATTGTTTGGAGTATTATGTTAAAGGGGTCCTATTATGCTTTTTCACTTTTTAATTTTAGTCAGTGTGTAGTGTGTATGTTTGGGCATAAAAAGATCTAGAAAGTTCGCACTGGGACAGCTAACCAATCACAACACATTTTGTTTTTCGGAAGGCGGACCTTCATCAAAGCCGGAACTAATCGAGCCGTTTGTGCCAGGCTGTGGAGAAAGGTATTTTAATAATGTAAATTATGTGAAAAATAATGCGTTTTTTGAACCACCAAGCACGAGAGCATGTTCTGGTACACCCCCAAAACAAAATCAAGACTTTGTAAAAGAGCAATATAGGACCCCTTTAAGAATTGTCTACTAACATGCTACTCTTTCTGTAGTATGCAGTTCATATTGTTCAATACCAGTGAATATTGCTGATAACTGATAATTATTTATGGCCCCAAAAATGATAAATGGGCGATATTAAATAAATAAAACAATTTTTGCTACAACATTACATTGTACAATAAAAAGGAATGGATATTCATTGTAATAACTGTTAAAGATTAGATTAAACAGTGTTAATAAATTATTAGTTTAAAAAAAAATCTAAACATGAAAACAAACAATTAATAAAATGGCAGAAATGAGCACACACAATTGAATATCCAATGTGAAATGATGTTTCCAAAAATGAACCGATAGAAATAAATGAAAAAAATATAGAGAATTGGTTGTCTGTATACAGCACAAACTAGCTAGTAGTGAATTCTGAACTCTGCCTCTATATAGTGTCACCAGATGGAAAACACACAATGTAATTGTTTGTGTGTGTGCGTTGTTTTTGTCCCTCCTTTCAGTTGTATAACACTTTCCTTTCCATATACCTTTCCTGTATTGCATGTTTTTTGTTTGACATGGTGTGCCGTTTTGTCTTGCTCATGTATGTTGTTTTTGTGGGTGTGTCACTGTTCTTGTGTGGTTTAGTGGGAGTGAAAACCTTTCGTTAGAATTGTCCTCTGTGGTAGCAGGAAGTGATGTTCACTATGTAGAGTCACAACAAATAGATACTGACTCTAAACAGCAATACTCTAGAGTGTCTCCTCAAAATGACTCTTCCCCTAAAGACCCCATTTCTATTAATACACAACTCAGTGACACTCAGATTAGACCCCCCCACTTCCCAAAGACCACCTCCATCCTTCTGTACAACCCCAACCTCTAGAGCAGAACCACTCAGACCACAAGAAGATGGAGGAGACGGAAAAGGAGAGAGATGGATGGGACATTTTCTGTGAAATTCCGCCAAACACCATGGATCCCATTCAGAGAAACTTGCAGATGTCACATAATAAGACTGCAGGAAATGATACCAGGTGCTGAGACTTCCCCTCCATCATGCCAACATACAAAACACTCAAAATCCCTCATAGTGTGCTTACACAAAATACACTTACACAAAAATGTAGCATGTTGGTTGTTTGTTTTTGTTTTTTTCCTTTAAAAAACATTCAGTCACATTATGGAAGTAAAATGTGATTTTAATTTCTTTTTTACACTTGACTCATGTCCTTATAAAAATACAATAGTTGTTGTAACAATCCGGTAGGATCTTATGTTCATTTGACAATTTGACAACAAATACAGCTTCTCTTTCTTTGATGTCTCTTTCAGGAGCTTTCTTGTTGCTTTATCTAACCACCAAAGCTTGAGTCTGAGAGGAGACTTGTGTTGTTTTGGGATCAGCACTGAGTGCATCAGAGAAAACGAAGAAGAAGAGCTGCTGTGCTGTAGCGTCAAATTTTCGGCATGTCTAGAACAATTCTTGCCTACACTCATAGAAAATAAAGTATTTGAATTTTAAAGACGTGGCGCGACGCTATGCTGCACTTCTCGTCCAGTGTGCGACCGCCTGAAACGCTGTTTTTTTTCACCTCCGTGCCCAAACGCCTTTTGTTTGGGCTTCCAAAAGTGGATGATGTCAGGAAACAGTGGTTGCAATTTATTTTTTAACTCTGTTCCTGAGCACTGAGGCATCATCATTGACGATGAGTTTTACGAAAATGGTTAGAGATATCAAAAAGCTTTTAATAACTTTTTTGTCAGCACGGTCTGATGATGATCTGTGTGAAATTTGGTGAAGTTTGTACAAACGGTCTAGTATAAGAAAGTTTGAAAATGTAGGTTTTTGACCTAAATCAAAATGGACAACAGGCAAAATGGTGGACTGTCGAAAAATATAAACCACTGGATTCTGTAGGACCCAGGGAATAAGAAGAACCAAATTCTGTAAGTTGTAAGCATATTTGTAAATTTTGTGGTATATTATGATCATTAGGTGGCACCAGCCCAAAACTCCATAGGCTGCTTCATGGACTGGTGCTCAAAACTCATGCATTTTGTAAAATGCAGCATTTTAATACAAAATTCAAAATGGTCGATGTCCAAAATCACTAAAGTGGGAAAACTGGGTACCGTTCAATTTGGTATGCCATACAAAATCTAAAAAGAGACCAATCTTGTGAGAAGAGGCTTAGTTGATCAAAATTAGTCACTTAATCACAGAAAGAAAAAAAATCCACAGGAAGTGAAGTCACATAGTCCGTGATGGACAGATCATTAAGAGATTGTCTATGTGGTAATTACAGTACTGTACATCGGTCAGGGCATCCAAACGTTCATTTCGATCATCGACCTCAAATGTGGCTTATCATCTGAAACATGTAAGTAGCAGCAACATACATAGTTGTTCGCTTTAACGCCAACCTAGAAAAATGTACACTATTCAAATGTTTGTGCGGAGTGCGGAAGCTGAACAGTAGCGTGCTCACTGCATGACAGTTAACTTGGAGGCGCCTGTGCAATCATTTGCATTTAACTTAAAATATTCTGTCCTTTTTGCTAGGGGTGCTCCGATTGATCAGCTACCGATCATTATCGGCCGATAATCACGTTGGGATGATTGATCGGCGGTCTCTAAAAGGCCGATCTCAAAAGAACGATCTCAAGCTGATGACGCTGCCGTGAGAGGTTTGGCACGACATGCAGCGGCACCGTCTCAGTCTCTGTCTGGCACGGGTGAAATAATTATAATGCTGAAGGTGAGGTACTCACCTTCATATTTCTTCATTACATAACTTACAAAGTAATTTGAAAACCTTAATTTTTACGTAATTTCACAAACAGCGTGAGTGAGTGAGTCACCGCGCGCGCTCTCTCTTTCTCTCTCAAAATACGCAAATAGCTTCAAATCACCACACATTGCGTCCGTCTATAAGCGAGCTGCACGCTGCACAGTTGACACAGGAATTGTCACTTGCACAGTCGAGGCAGTGTCACATCGTCACTAAAGTTTATACAAGTAAAGTAAAGTTTTTGCATTACTTTTTAATTCTTGCCAGTGTTTAACCATTCAGCGCTCGCGCGCTCTCCTGTAGACCATGCGCTCATGCACACTTGGAAAAGAGCACTTTTAGATAAACAAGGCAATAATAGATGCACTCGTGGAGGTAGGAAAACAAAGTTCTTTATTTTTTGCTCATACAAATAAGAGTAATACATCTTTCGAATCTGTGAAAGGTCTTTTATTTGTGTGCACTCACAATAACAACAAAATGTGCTTTTGTAAAATAATGAAAGCAAAGATTGTGTGCTTTCTGCCATCTGGGTAAAAAAAAAGAACTGAAACTCTGCGCTTGCTTCACAGACATGAAAAATATATCAATAGAAAGTGAAATGTCTACTTTTAAATGAACCAATTCAAAAGGAAAACAAATATTTTTAGATTATGAAATCTGTATGAAACGTGCACGTCAACAGTGGAGATGAGTCAGTGTCATAGACTTCATCACTGCAGCCGAAAATACAGAAAACACTTATCAATGAATTATTATAATGTTAATGCAATCTCCTTGCTGTTTTTTTTTTTATATCTGAAGCATTCATAATTATTACTTCTGCAGTGCGCTGTGGCAAGCTTTATGCGTGCACTTGAGCACTGATAGGCTATAGGCAATTAAAGGCTCATTATTGTGAATTATATGGTTTATTAATATAAACAAGCATGCGATCAATCGACTAATCACTTAAAATGAATGACTACTAGTCGACCGGAAAAATCTTTAGTTGAGGGCAGC